ATCCGAGAAAAAATCAAGCCTGAACTCTCCCTAGAAGCAAATATTACTAAACTGATGTTGTCATACTTTAGCCATATCATGAGAATAAAGAACTCACTAAAAAAGATTACAATGTTTCCTAAAATGGACTGCATACCAGACAGATTCAATCAGAAAAGCCACAGCCATGAGTCTGCAAGTCCTGAGCAGGACGGTTGAATATAGGGTAACTTGGAGGTCTTTCATTCACAGGGTCACCACAGGTCAAAGATGACTTAAAGGCAGTTAGCAAAAAATTAAAAAAAAAACCAAAAGCATCCAGTTGCATTACAAAACAGTAGTTTCTGATCAAGTTCTTCCTACCTAGTTCACTACATCATTCAAATAAATATGTCAATTCTGATAAGTATGTTACACATAAAGATGAAAGAAAGTTCCACACTGACAGTTTCCAGCACTATTAAAATGTATTATACAAATACTAAGTCTTTCCCTCTTTAAGGAAACTTTCATGGTGAGAAAAAGACAAAATAAGTAGCTGAACATACAAAAGTAACATATACAGGATTGTGTCAACTAGACCCCTCATAAAAGTCTTTACCTGAGGCAAGGCAGAAGCTTTGTTTGGAAGTACCAAGGCATACTTTTTTTTAAAAAAAATGCTTTTTCAATAGAATAAGCAAAACCTGACAACTGGATGTTAGGAATGCAGGTTTATAAGATTTATAACATGAACCCCACTGGATGACCTTGTGCAAGTCACATGCTCTCAGCCTTCGAGGAAGGGAATAGCAAACCTCCTCTGAACAAATCTTGCCATGAAAAACTAATGATAGGGTCTCCGTAAGTTAGAAATGACTTGAAGGCATACAATAACAATAACAACAAGTAGTAATAGAAGACGTACATTTTTTTTTAAAAAAATGCTCACACTATAACCAAAATGCACTGATACCTGCTGCACATATGCATCCTGAGGGAATTGCTGTTGCTGATGGTGATGTAAGTGCAACTGCTGTAATCTCCAGTCTCCTTGCTGTAGTTGTTGTAGTACTCTGTTCTGCTGTGGAGTCGGATTAGTTCCCTGGGACAACATGCTCTCTTGACTACTTCCAGGTTTTGAGGCTCCTATAATATTTGAAAGCATATTTTCTGCTTAATGCATTTCTAGAGTCCAAATATAGAAGTGTTTCTGTACATCACACAGCTAACTCAAAGATATAGCTAGCAGATAAATGGTGAATATTTAGTTTCTATCACATTTCTTATAATGCCCATTTCAGGCCCATCTGACATAATGCTCCACCACCATTCGACATCCACCTAACCACAATGCATCGGAACATTCTTCCTTATATACACAAACTGTGGCTAGGATTCTGACCCAACCGCCAGCCAGTGTTTCATTTTCCTGTCACGTATCAACAGTGACTGTGCAGTTTTGAACTGTTACCACAGAACTTCCCGCGGAAGTTTCATCAGTTTCCTGAGTCAGCTTTTCACCTTTGTGCACACTCACCTTTGCACATACTGAGTTCAGGGCATCTTTCACCTTTGTTCCACATTGCATGCATCTGAGGCAAATTCTCACTGACAATCCCCTCCAAAATGTCATAGATGCCATGCAGGGTGATGTTTTTCAGCCTCACTGACAATATCTCCCTACATATGCTTGTCCCAAGGACTGAAATCTGTTACAGGGTGCTCCTTTGTTTCCCACCCATGAGGGCAATACACTGCAGGAGGTCACAGGAAAGGGCATTCTCTCATGTGGCACTCTGGAATAGCTCCCCCTTGGAGGCTTCATTCCAGCATTAGGTTAAAATATGGCTTTTTATCAAACTGTTTGATCCTGCTTTCTTTAAAAAAAAGTTAACGTACACGTTAACCATTTTCACTTTTTCACTATTTTAACCATTTTCACTTTTTATAACTTCATAAATTATTTAGTCAGCTTTCAGTGTGTTCAAATTATCTTTTATTTAAAAAGTAAATCAGAACTTTAAGTGCTGGACTAGGACCCTGGGAGGGTTCAAATCCCCACTCAGCCATCAATATTATCTGCAATTTAACACAGTTCCTTAAAATGCTTATCAATCCACATTTCATTTTTGTGAATGAATAGCTGCATGGAATAGGGAAAACTGACAATAGATGACGCATTACATTTTCCACAGTTGTTACACCATAACTCTGTGGGGGTAACACTTTCCATACTGTGTTGAAACAAGGCAATAAAGTATATGAAAATCTTTTTACTTTGAGTCATATGCATCTAAAACTGCCAAATCCTTCATTTAAAGATGGTATCTAATTTTTAAAAGCAGTAGAATATTTGCTTTTCTTTCAGTACTTGGGAAGGGCAGCTTTTTTCCCCAATTCACTGTATTAATATGAGAAGTTACCTTTTTGCCCATTATTAAGATCACCAGGTACTGGCACTTTGACTGGTGTCGCTGAGCTCTGGATTGCTAATACACTAGAAGTGGCAGCGCTTGTATTGGCCTTTGGTCTTTGTCGTGGTGCTATTGAGGTTTCTGTTGGTCCAGTGGAATCTGTTATTCTAGAATGAAATAAATGTGAATCACATCTGCATTTCAGAAAGTAGTAGTAAAGGACATCCTTGTTTACCACTTAATTGGCTGCCACACATTCCTAGGAATTAATTCAGCCAAAAAAGTAGGTTGTCAGAAGATGGATGGGGTGTTCAGTCTCCCTGAGGCAGCCAACTGCACTGTTGTTCTTGGAGGGAACTGAGCGCTCAGCTCCTTCTCAGAAGCCCACTGCATTTCTATACCAGACATGGAGAGGAATTCTACTCCTCCAGGGTAGAAACAAAGCAGACAATTGATAAATGAGGTACTTCACAGAGGACTTCATCCAGCCTTCAGTTTTCCTGCATTTCATGCAGATATGCTGTAATCTCTTTCCTTATTGTTTAACATTTTCCCAATTAACAATACAACTTTAATAATATGCCATATATTATCAAATCAAATCACATATAAATAATTTATGCATATAAGTTTATTCATCTGCTTTTTATTCATAAGGCTTCCGGCAAAGAAAGGAGAAAGTGCTCTATCCTCATTTACTCTCAACAGTAAAAAATGAAAAATCAGGTCTTATTACAAGTAATTTTGTGGCTCTTTAAAAATAATGTAACAGTTGGTAACATCAGTATTTATTTAATATAAAGAGAAATTTTTACTTATTACTTCAAAACATTTCTTGAAGCTATCACTTTGGATGATTGGGATGGGTTGCCTTTTCAAAGTGATTTTTTTTTTAAATTATCAAAAGCATTAAAATCCTAACATGTTACACTAGTAACACATCATTATCAACCAATACCAGGTCAATTTTTTATAAAATGTTAAGCAACTCCAATGCATTATTTTCTTTGAAACAAAACATTCCAGGCCTGGATAAAAATAAAATTTTTGCAGGTCAGTAACTTTGTGTGACCAATTTCAATTAAGCAGAATAATTTTCTTTAAACAACCCCACCTTATAATTCTTGTTTAGAAGTTGTTTGTTCAATTATACTTCATATATTATCTCATAATGCACAAGAACCACAAGAGGGGGGTTATGCAACATTCCTTGCAAAACAAACAGAACGATTAAATATCCTTAATGTGCCATTCAAAACATATTTATCATAAAGGGTAAATTTATTGAGTATACACAAATCTACACTTATGTGAGAATAATATTGTCATGTTTTCTTGAAAGCAAGCAAGTGCAGAAGGAATAAATAAATAGCAGGTTGTTTTAACTGCACATGCTGGATTTTATAAAGCTACTGAATAATTCTTTCAAGCATAGAGCAGTTCAAACTTTGGCTAACAATATCTACTGAAGATGTACACACCAACTCAGAGTTCTGGAGTTTCCGGTTTACTTTCAAAACTGGGAAGTAGGTTTATCTAGCTGTCATTCGGTTCTGTTATTCCAAAATGGGGCATTTTCCCTTACTTTTCCCCTAACTGAACATGTTGTCCCTCTTCTCCAAAAGTATATGCATAAGAATTCTATAACATGCTATATTCATCTGCCCATTTTTATGTTTATACTTTTGATTTAAAACAAAGGATTTTGATATCATCACATCTTTAAAGTGAACACAAGGCAATTAAAGAGTTGGCATTTTAAGCCAGAAAGTCAAGTTCTAATGCTTGGCATTCCAAAGAAACTAAAAGTGCATAAAATTTCAGAAACATTACTTCACTCACCTAGCTTTTATTTGGCTTTTCTTAGCAGCTGCTTCACTAGCTGTCAAGGGCTCAGGAAGTGTTGAAGGAAGAGGAGAATTCTTGGGAAAACAAGTTATTATGTATTACTAAGTATATTATTTGGAAGTAAAATAAAACATTAATAATAAAGGCTAAGCAAACTAATAGTAAACTCAATTCAAAACATTAGTCACAATATGGTCCAAACAACACCATCCACACACAAGAAGAAAGCATCTGTAGCCTGAGAATTTGAAGATTTGCAGAAGCACAAACTGTGGGGTTCTTATATAAAAACACCTATTGGGGAAGAGGGGCATAAAACATCTAAAAATACTCTTCATGTTCAGTGGCTATAGAACACTGAATGCCAAAGAAAACTATCAGAAATCTAGGGAAGACAGGATACAACTGAGTATCCCAGAAGATGGTATGGCTGGCTGGCACATTGAACAGGAGCACACCATACTGAAACATTGTTGCAGCTGAACATCATATTAGCTATAGGTTTCTTGTACTGGTAGGGGTTAAGACTGAATGACCCTTGGCATCCCAACTCTACAATGCTAAGAAGAAATGAGACACATTTTTTCATAAGACAGAATTCCAAAGGTTGGCTGTTGCTGTATGTCTTTAAATCATGTCTGACTTAAAGGGATCCTAAGGCAAACCTATCACATGGATTTCTGGGCAAGATTTGTTTGTGGGGGGGGAGCAGTTGCCACTGCCCTTCTTTGAGGCTGAGAGAGTATGACTCGCACAAGGTTATCCAGTGGGTTTCTATAGCTGAGAGGGGAATCTAAACCCTGGTCTCCAGAACTGTAGTCTAATACTCAAACCACTACACTACACTGACTATTCTCCAAAGGCTAAAGGCTTATCCCTTAAGGTAGATTATTCAAACTACTGATTCTATTTCAAAGGTGATGATCTAAGGGCAGAAGCTTTACACCTAGTACAATTTCTTAAGTATGAGAGAAACTGCTTTTTAACATCTTCATACTTTAATTGATATGCAAAGGAAGACACAGAATTGGACCCAGATATAACAGAAAATTCACTAGGACCAAAGTATAACTAATGGTTGGTTCCTTGGTCAAAAGGTGCCCAGGCTGTCACATGAGCAACCAATTTTACTGGAAAAACTGGGTGAGGTTAAAGCCTTGCACCCAACACTGCAGCAATGCTGTTCCACTGTTTCACCAGTGTGCAGGAAGCTTCCTCCACATCCAAGCAGAGCACAGTTTCTTTTACATGTTTGTACATACTATTTTTTATTTATTCAATTTGTACCCTACCTATCTCTTTGCACAGGGCTCAAAGCAGGTAGACATCAAGAAGGACAGAGGGTGGAGAAAAGGATACAGTGAGGTAAGTAGTGGTGCTTTCAACTGAGAATAGCAGGTGCTTCTGGTACATCTGCTCACAAAGAGTCAGGTAAGGCAGCCATAAGAACATTGGAGATTTTGATGGTTTATACTAGAGGCACTCTTAGCAGCAAATTCAGTGTGTGGGTTCTGGGGTTGTTTTTTTTTTTTAACATTTGGGAATTCATGCTTCCCATAAAAGAGCTAACAACTCTTGCCACAAACCATAATCTAGAGAATAGCTTACTTGTACCCAGTACAGCTTTTGAAACCTTCCTGACTTTCCTGAGTGGTGTGTGTGTGTGTGTGTGTGTGCGTTACATAGGAGAAGAGTTCAAGTCCATCGCTCTGCTGAACATATCTAACTATACAGTTCTTTAGTTTATGAATTTAGAAGTATCTGTCTGGACTATCATGGGCACTCTGCATAATTTTTAAGGGGAAGTGAACTTGTTGAATAACTATTAACTCAATCATTAAATGATAAAATATCTTGGAAAACAACACAATAGGTGAAATGTCCAGGCCCATACTATAATAAATCTGTAATGTTATATGATCAGCAAAAGTATTTGGATGTTATCTTACTACACAACTGATGTGGAGACAATTTTCTGTATTTCATCAACAACTGCACTAAAAAAAAACTGTACCTATTTACTATATATGTTCAGAAAGAGTAATTTTTTAAAGGTCAAACATTAGTTGCCACTCCTTAGACTACCGTGAAAAATATTTACTGTAACAATTCAAAAACATTGTGACTTACATTAATGTTTGATAATGGACAGTCCTTTCTGGCAAGTTTAAAGGCAAAATAAGATACTTGAAAGATATCAGGTCGCCGTTCTTGATCTGGTTCGAGCATGTATCCTGTGGATTACAGCAAATTAAGTTTCTAACAAGGAGCTAGAAGTTTAAACTTAGGAAAAAAACACAAAGTAAATTAATCAAAATTTTGCTGTGTGTGGAATTCACTGATTCCATCTCTGATTAGAAGTCAAGTGGGGGCAGGAGTACTGGCTAGGAGTGAATTTGTTCATTTTTACTAGGTGCTACTTACTTAGACTATTTCCAAATAAATCCCTGGGCTGTAGCAGTAGCTGATTTTTTTTAATCAATTTCATCTGACAAGAAAGCTACAACCCTGTCAAATGTCATTCATACCTTTGATCACTTTAAGACTACATCTTCCCTGTGATCAAACCAACAAAATACAGCTTAAGTTGAATACCTCTGAAAAATGCATAGCAATTCAGCATCTGAACTCAGTTGCCAAACAATAAATTCAAAATACTTAGTTCTGTAGTAAAATGGTAGCTTGTGCAGATTCTTTAACACACATATAATATGCATGCTGCATAGCAGTGCTACTCAAAGTGGTGACCTCTGAGCCAACGCCTGTCCACAAGCCATCAGCTGCCAGTCTACAGAGAGTTTCCAAGGAAGAAAGAAACAGTTGTAGCCAATGGAAAGAAATATGGTACTGGTCCTTCACAGTGGAAAAAACTAACAGCCAGTCCCCCATATAGGATACCTGAGAAGCACTGGACTTGGCCATTTTATTTAAGGGACATCATTTTACTATGCCACTGTATTTAATGGGACATGAGCATGCATGGATTTTGGTATCCACAGAGGTCCTGGAACCAAACTCCAGCAGATAACAAGGGTCCCTATACTCCAAAACATTTGAAGAGACAAAGGTTCCTCATCCCAACCTAACTACTTTATAGGAAGTTTAGTTTCAAAGTTGCTTCAACTACTTACTTATCAAACAATGTATACCATAGGAGTAACGTGAATTGTCTGGGATGGTAAAGCTTCCATCACAAATGGCAACTTGACTCTCACCAAAGGGAAGTGTGAAGAAACAAAGCTTATATAGCAAGCAGCCAAGGGCCTATGGAAGTGAAATGTATTGTCAGCAAAA